CAACCTTTTGCCTCTCCCCAGAGGGTCACCAACATGCCTGGGCTCCTGCCAGCCCCATGGTAAAGCCACACCATGCATCTCCAGCCAAAACCCTGCCATGGTTGCCCCCAGAACCCACCAACTATGGGCATCACCGCAGGGAAGCAGCAAGGGCTGCTGCAGGGAGGGATGCAACAAGTCCCACGGCCACTGGTGAAGAGATGGCAGGGCATGAGCTGAGCCCCACAGCGTGGTGCTCTATCTCCCTGGCCCTCCTCCTCTTCCAAGAAGAGCAAGCCCTGGGAAAGGCCATACCAGCTTCTGGAAGAGGTGGCCCATCGTGACGTTGCTGTCCCACTGCTGCACCTTCGGGCACAGGCTGTCATAGAACTCCTTATGGATCTCATAGATGTCCTGGATCTTGTAGAAAATTGTCTCTATCTGCTGGAGGGTGAGGACAGGCTGCGATGTCGTGGCTGTGGCCTTCAGTGGCTTCATAGGCTGCCAAGGGAGGAGAAGGGAGAGCATTTGAGACTAGAGCTGGGAGGGGAATGCTAAGGTGGGGGGGATCTGAGACGGTAGCAAAGATGGGTCTGGGCGAGCAGCTGGACCAAGGGGCTGCTCCTGGCTCGTGCACCCCCAGAGGTTCCCCATGGCAGCGGGGAGCTCACATTGTGCAACAGCATCTCCACCATGAGGGCCAGTGAGTCCGCAAGAGGAAATGGGGCTATAAATACCTCCCCATCAGGCACACAAGCAGCAGGGGAGGTGACATGGGGCGGCCGGGCCAGAGCAAGGCTGGATCCAGCACTGCTCCTGCAGCTTTGCTCCTGCACAGGTAGCAGCTGGGCCAGGCCTGCCTTTGGGAAGCTGTCCAGGAAGAGATGACTCGCTTCCATCCATCCATCCATCCATCCATCCATCCATCCATCCATCCATCCATCCATGCCTGCTATTGAACATCCCTGGAGGGGCTGTGCTCACCAACAAGAGGGCCTCCAGCTGATTGATGTAGATCTCCTCGCTGGCCAGGAAACCAGAGAGCACCAGCTTCCGCATCTCCAGGCCTTTTCCAGCATCTCGCTCGCCCTGTGCAACACAGCAAGGAGCTTGGCTGAGGCAGCAGGCAGCACAGGAGGACACCCCTCATCCCACCAGCCCATCCCTGCATGGGCACATGTCCCCACCAGAGTAGGGAAGCACAATGGCAAGGGCTGGGCATGTGCCCACTGGGCGGCACAGCCAGCCTGGAGCCAGCTGGGGGCTTCACTGCCCTCCCTGCTCCAGGCTGGCTGGGAGCCCGGCGCTGCAGGCAGCATTCCAGGGTGGTGCACAGCACTGCAGGACTCTCCCAAGGCAGAGTCCAGCGGCGCCCAGTGAAATCATGCCCGGCGGTGGAGAGGAAATGGCCTCAAGCAGTGACAGGGGAAGGTTTAGGTTGGATATTAGGAAAAAATTCTTCACTGAAAGGGCTGTCAAGCACTGGAACAGGCTGCCCAGGGAAGGGGTTGAGTCACCAGCCCTGGAGGTATATAAAAGACGTGTAGATGTGGCGCTTAGGGACACGGTTTAGTGGTGGCGTTGGCAGTGCTGGGTTAAAGTGGGACTCAATGATCTTAAAGCCCTTTTCTAACCTAAACAATCCTGTGATTCTGTGGTGCTCCCATGTGATCCAGCACCACCCTTTTCCCAGCTGAGGCTTTCCCAGGAAAGTGCCACCCCAACGGTCACTGCACAGAGGCACTGGGACAGGTCCCGGGCTGTGTGGGGACCTGCTGCTGCCAGCTCAGTTAGTGACCAGGTCTGCTGCAGCACCGATGCTCCATGACCCTCATGGAGCAGGGAAATGGGTGATGCATGGCTCGGCTGGGCGGCTCTGGGACCCTCAGCCAGGCATCCCAGTCCCTGTACCGCCTTGAATGCCCGGCACGCCTTGGATCCCCACTTAAAAACCACACTCAGGAACCAGGCTTTGCCACCCAGCCTGGTGGGGGCATGCCCGTGGCCCAGCATCTCCCTGTCCCAGTCTGACATGCACCAGCCAGCCCTGGGTGCTGCTGTGCTAACCGGGGTGCCCACCCTACAGCTCCCTGCCAGGCTGCCCTGCTAATGCTGGGACCCAGTGATCGGTGCAGCACAGGGGTGCACGGGGGGAGCAGGTTTGTGCACTGGGAGCTTGTGGGCTCTTTGCCACCAATTAGTCACAGGCTCTTCCTGCTTCCCTCAGCCTGG